TTTATTTGCTTGGTAGCTCGTCTTTAGAATCTGAATAAAATAAATTTAGAGATAAATTTAAAACTGATGAATTGGAATGTTAGGAGCGCTGACGTGTTCATATTATCTTTCACATCATTACAAAGATTGAAGTTTAAGACTATTTGTTAGCGTTCAACTAACAATTAATTAGCCTTACAATACAAAAGGGTAGCTAGGGTTTTTATGCTTTTGGAAAAGAAAAAGATGTTTGCCTTTTATGATAAATAACAGCGATACCTAATTAGTTCAACATGTATGAAATTTATTGTTTCAGCTGAATTATATTTCAGTTTTGTCTCTCAAACTAGCGTTATATTATCGCATGTATAGATAACGGCCAGTATATAAAACATTTTTGATCGATAGTGCTAAACTTCTCCCAAAAAAGATGTATACATTTTTGGGAGTTAACTATCCAACAAATCAAACTTTTCATAACTCCAAAAATAAGTGCAAGTTCTTAACGTTTACATCAAAAAAAAAGAAGTGCAAGTTGCTTTCTTTCCCATTTATTTATTTATTTATTTAGATTTTCCGTATGCCCCTGCATCTATTCTTCATATCTCCTTCATTGTAGATATGATCGATCCACCACAAGCGCATTATATTGGAAGCAAAAGATAGACGTTGGACACATGAGTTTAGAAAATTAAATTAACTATGTGGTCACAAAATATCTATTTTCTATTTTTTTTTTTTTGATATACCCGATCGGCTGATCCGGTCAGCTTCGGTATGAACGCACCGGAGTGCTACAGAGTGGACTCACTACCACCCCGAAGGATGGGCTACCACACTGCCTGAACCGAGTTTGGAATGCTTTCCGACTAATGCCCGGGGGTAGCTGGATCGCCTGTTACCAGACTACCAGGTAAACTGCATGGGCCGAAGCCCAAGCCCAGACTTTCCAACAAAGTGTTGATAACAGCGAGGGAGGAAGATCGAACCCGGGTTCAGGGATTTCACCCTCAACTCCGGACTCGCCCAACCACTCGCCCACCACCTTGCGGGTAATATCTATTTTCTTACAAGATTCACTAGTAATATATTATGACATTTCATAATGAATGAAATTTTTTAAAACAGGCCGGTAAAAGTTAAATTCAATATTAAACGTTGGAAAAGAAAATCTTTCATTTACTAGATTTACATTGGAAAATATGCCAAAAATCACCCTATATGAGAATCTAGCAAATGAAAGATTTTTTTTTTCCAACGTTTAAAATTGAATTTAACTTTTACTAGTATGTTTTTGAAATTATCATTCATTATAAATTGTCATAATATATTACTATTGATTTTATTTTTTATGGGTTATGTATGAATCATGAACCCTCTTGGATAATCTCTGCCCCTCATTGGGTGAGAGAATTGGATCCTCTGTCTAGGGTCGTAGACACTAATTAGATCATTAATTATATTTGCTTTTGATGATCTTCAAGTGGCTCAATTAATGATTACGATTCTTTTCTAAAAGCCGAATTTAGATGCTTTTGTTAAAGCCAAATATTCACTTGCAACTTAAAACAATCGTGATTCTAACATTTTTATAAACATTAAAGCCCAAAAAGGCTATGTATTTTCTGCGCCACTTATTACTCATTAGCACTCGCAAAGAATAAAAAAAAAGTTGTATGCAGTATATATGTATGGCCAAGTACGTAATTAGAAATCGATCATTAAGCCTTGATTATCTTACAAACTATTTTCAAAAATAGATTTGGATGACTTATTATCAGACGAATCCCTTTAGTTCAACAAAAGTGTATATTCTGGCTTTAACTTTAACAATAAATTGTAGTATAATAAAAAAAGAAAAGTTATACTCAAACAAGTCAAAAGTGTTAAATTATTTCATTATTAAATGCCTAAGTTTTGTAATTTTTCATTGTTGAACACGTCTTAACGAAGAGTCGAAGACAATAATTTTTCAATATTGTTTTCTGTAAATATTTATTTTACATAAAACAATATTGAAACTTCACCTCAGATTTGTACTAAACTTTGTTTTGCAAACCCACAAAATTAAAAGTTTAATATCCCTGATTTTTTTGTAAACACAGAATTTATTTCTTTTTTTTTTTAATTTTGAATATTTGCCTTGTATAAAATACATTACAATTAATATTCTTTGAACTATTTTTGTTTCTGTCTACAATTAAAGTTAACGATCATACATATTCTATTGGACTTGATATGAGTGGTGTATAGAGATTAGAGGCCGTTAATAATTCTTTTTCACTTTTTAAAAAATTAGACAAGTTCTTCACTACAGAAGAGCTGTAAAAAAAAAAAAAAAAAGATAAATACTACAAGAAGTGTATATTTTTTTTTTATAAAGTGAATTAGGTTCCTCTTTTGCTCCTAATTTCTTCACTTTCAATTTCAATTCCTCAACTATTTGTTATTTCTATCTTACAAGGAAAATTTGAGAAGTTGTAACATTTTCCAAATTTTCACTAAATAATATCATTTCCGAAAACATATTATGGAATTTGCTAGGACGTTAATGGGCTCTCTTTTAAAAGTCTAGACCTTAAACAAGAAGCGATCCATTTGCCACTGTCGATATCCTTATTGTATGGATCCAACCCAGCCTCACTTCGCAATTACTTTAACAAAGAAGAAAAAAGACTATATACAAGCATTCTTTAACACAAACATGCAATTGCTTTGGGAGATTTTAAGAGATCTGGTGCTCATGTTTGTCTCGCACTATCACCAATCATTTTTAAAAAAAGTATTTTATGGACCTAAACTAGTAGCAAACTAGTGATAGCCCTCAATTAATGTGTCTATAGACCCACTAAAGAATGTGATTGATCCACCAAGATTAAATTTAAAAACTTTTCTTGAATAATAGCTCTATTTTCACCTGCTATAGCTAGAATCATAGTATTACTAAACGTATATAATTTGCTGATTAAAATAGCTATTAAGATCACTATCATGCCACCTCAATGGTTTAGGTGGAGAAATTGATTCCGAAGAGGTGGTTTTAATTAAGGGTATGAATCAACATTCTAGTTTGATGCATATAAATAAATTTTCATCAGATTTATTTTTCAAAAGCTGCTGTAGTTTTTTTCTTATATATGAACAGCTTTATCGAATACTAATAGTGCCGTTGAAAACCACAGAAAAAAAAATAAAATTTGCAATTTGTCCATGAATTACTTATCTTTCTTTTTACAGCATATCATGCTGGGTCATGAATTCGCTAGTTAAACATTAGGAATTGTTTGACAAAAAAAAAAAAAACATTAGGAATCATATATTACTTATTATTATCTGTAAGAAAATCATTACAGTTTTTTTCAATTCAATTTGGAAAGCTAATGTAAGAAGGAGTCATGTGTCCCACAACTTGGGAGATTGTCTGGTCTCTTTTCCTGTCAGGGAAGCAATGCAGTGTTGTTTCCATGTGCAAACAATTTTCTAACCATTTCTTACAATCATTGTACTTTATTTTTCTTGTTTTCTATTTTTATTATTCATATTTAATTAGTAGAATAAAACGTAATGATTCATCTTCGACAATTAGTTAAACACTTAATTAAACCCATCGGTTTAGTGCAGAGATATATATCAGATACATGTTGACATGGTGACACCATGAATCATTTACGGGTGTGTGTGTATTATTACGATGGGATGGTGACAACAAAGTATATATGTATTTTTCGCTAAGATATGATTTTGCTGGTACTAGTCTCTATCTATCTCAATATTGAGCGGCTCCTTTACATTTGTTCAAAAACCCTACACACACATATTATTGAGGTGGCTTCTCTTTTTTTTTCAGAATGAACTTATACGGATGCCATACATGGCTTGATATAGAGTAATACAAAAGGATCTTCACATTGATATTCCTCAAAAATTAACCTCCGATCCCATCATTCGGACCTCCAAAAGATATACACTTAGACAGGAAACTAAATAGAATATACTAAGTCGTTGATTGTACCTTAGTTAGGCTCATAATCAAATTGTGTACATTTCTCTGGTGATAATAGCGTTTATACATAATCGTATCTGATCACATTTGCAACCAGCAAGAATCAATAATTTACTTTCACGAATAGTAAAACGTTAATTTATGCTGGTATAAAGCTTTATTGGGCCTTCTCAATGAGTAAATGTCGTTTGTAGATTTATTTTGTTAAAAATTACTTTTAATTAGTATTGTATAAGGTTTTTTTTAGTTTTTTCTTTGATAAATATGGCCTAATATATATGTTGTCAACATAAGAAGTGATGGAGGTTCACAATCACAAAAGACATAAAGAAGAAAGTTGAAAGATGGAAGATAATGTAGTTTAAGAAGTATAATTGATCTGGATTAACTTTACTTTTTCTCTTAAAAATACTATGTTTTACAATATATCATATTTAAACTATTTAACATTAACATGTGGTTCTATATTTTGTTTCTTTACCAAATAGAAGATGGAATAATAAAAAACAAAGGAGACATTGTGACCTTAAAATTATTGGTGATTTTGGGTCCTTCGTGATTATTTGATATATTCCTAAAATGGTGTAAAATCCAATGTGGGACTGAAAGATACTATTACCAATTTACACTTATCATATATATTTTTTTTTGAAAAAACTCTTATACATCAATATATTACAATGCCTAATTAAGATTCATGAAAAGTGGGGCACATTAAGAAGGTAAGTGTTGTTCATGTGTCATGTTGTGGTCATTTTTATTAAAATCATTAATTTGATACTTTCTTTTAGTCTAACTTATCATTATAAATGGTTTGAATCAAAAATTGATAAGTGGGATATTATTTCAGTAATTAAGACTTTCTTAAATTTTAAACAAAGGACAAATAAAAATGGAAAAGAAAACGAAGTTATCCACAATTCTTGCTTTTCGACAAGACAGAAGAAGTGATTGGTCCATTTGTCTTTTATGAACTGACAGTTGTTTGGTTACTCGTTTTGGATTTCTTACTATCTTTTGTATTCACATCTATCATTTAGACTAATTAAATTATTCGATGAAGCACCCCATAAGATAAAAATCCTTTTCTTTGTATAATTGCATAACCATTTCTTCTTCTGAACCCTAAATTCTTATAAACACCCCCACAAGATAGATAAACCCTTTTCTCCTAATTTTCTTATTATTATTATTTGATTTTATCAAGAATTCCTCGAATTTTATCCTTGTTGTTTTGTTTTTTACTTTTGCCTGTGTGTGTTTTACTTTTATCACCACGATCGTGGAAACCCAGAGGGTAACTAAAATCTCTATCTGCTGATTCCTCTTCGCTCCCAAGAGGCATTTTAAGGAAATCCTTTGTTTACTCACACACAATATTAATATGTATGTAGATGTGGCCTATGTAGGCTTTTATGAGCAATTATATAATCATTATTATTTGGTGGTTTGTACAATCTATCATTAATCAGTTTTCACTCAAATCATCTCTCTACCTTGTCTCTGTAACAATCCTCTCTTCCCTCTTAGTTTTTTATTTGAATTTTACTTTATACATTTGCTTAAAAAGTTTCATGTTTATGTCATCTCTGTGCTTGCTTGCTGGGTTGGGTGTGGTTTTAATTTATCTTGAATTACTGTTTTCTGTATATTTTCAAATGCTGATTCTTGGATTTGTAGTCAAATTGGAACACTGTTGAGAGTCATAATTAAGATCTTATCTCTGTTTCTTTATGTCCAAATTGTGAAACTTTTACTCCTCCCAGTCCATTTCTGACCTCTTTCCTCTCTTAAAGTTTAGATTCTTAAATCTCATTCTTTGTTTACATGTAGAGTTTCTGAAAGATCGGTGAAACAACATAGGAAGCAATATGGCACTTACTTGGACTCATAAAGACAGAGGAGAAATTCGGGTTCATGAAAATTTGGAGGAACTAAGCATAGACTTGGTAGATTATATAGCTGAGATATCAGAAGCATCAATTAAAGAACATGGTGCTTTCTGCATTGTGTTATCAGGAGGCTCTCTCATTAGCTTCATGGGGTAAATTTTACCAAAAGGTTTTCAAAGATCCCATTTTCAGTTTCCTTTATCTATTTCCTCATGGATTTACATATTCAACAGAAAATTGATCGAGCCGCCTTATGACAAGATTGTCGATTGGGCAAAATGGTATGTTTTCTGGGCGGATGAGCGTGTGGTAGCTAAGAGTCATGACGACAGCAACTACAAGCTAGCCAAAGATAATTTACTGTCCAAGGTTAGATGTTGGGATTTGGTTCTTGACAACTTTTGGATAGAAGAATCTTGTGGCTGTCTGGTTTTCTTGAATCTGCAATCTATTGACTTTTTTTGGCCCCAATCCTTGCTTGTTTGAGAAGAAAACAAATGGAGGATCTGGAAACTTATCCAATCATGGTGTTGGTATGTTGACTTTATTCTATTTGTTTTTTTTTTTCAGGTTAATGTGTTTCCGAGACATATATGTTCCATTAACGACACAGTTTCGGTGGAGGAAGCTGCAACAGAGTATGAATTCGCCATCAGACAGATGGTGAGAACACGAACCGTGGCTGCCTCAGACAACAGTGACAGTCCCAGGTTTGATCTGATCTTGCTTGGGATGGGCCCAGATGGGCATGTAGCCTCGCTCTTCCCGAACCATCCAGCACTTGAGGTGAAGGACGATTGGGTTACGTTCCTAACCGACTCTCCTAAACCGCCACCAGAGAGAATCACATTCACTTTGCCCGTCATTAACTCAGCTGCTAACGTTGTTGTCGTAGCAACCGGCGAATCCAAAGCCAATGCTATGCACTTAGCAATCGATGATATACCCTTACCAGAAAGCTCTCTGTCTCTGCCTGCAAGGCTGGTCCACCCGAGCAACGGGAATCTGATTTGGTTTATGGATAAACCAGCAGGGTCTAAACTCGAGAGGTTTAAATTTTCTGAGTAGGATTTAGATTTTCTTCTTTGATTCAAAAGCAATTGGTTATTGTTATCAGTGATGAACCTTTTTGTATGAAGAGCATCCGGTTTGAAAACATGACTTTTAATTTTCTAACCACGCAAGTTTCACCAAACTACCAAATCTATTAACTATAACAATAACATGTTCAGCAACTTCAAGAAACAATCTAACCTCAAAAACTCTATGAGGTGATAGTGACAGTGTTACACACTCAGGCGAAAACATACTTGTTATCCTACAGCCTACAGTGCATGAGAGAAACCGGTAATTCTTACTTTCATTAGGCATCGCTGTGACTTAGAGCATCAGCCTCTGCTCTGGCCATAGGATCATCTTTGGTCTCTGTATCTTCCTCCATCTCGCCTTGTCGATCTTGCGCCAATTTCTTCCTGTGAAGCTCCTCAGCAGTCTCCATGGCAGCCTTGTTCTCAGCTTGCATCTTCAGCATTTCCTTTTCCTGTTGCTGCCTCTCAAACCACGTGTCTGCATCTGCCCAAACTGAAACAAAGCAACAAAACCAAGAAGAACAATGAGACAAACTCTCTGCTTAAACATATATACAGAAACACAAACAATCCAGAAGCAAACAGATGGATTCATTGTGAACATCATCGACTTGTAGTCTAATTGCAGAATCAAACGCTAATTGCAAACCCTAATTTCAACAATCCCCGAGTTCAAAACTATTTCATCAACTCCCAAATCAACAGCATCAATAGCTCAAATTCACCAAATGAAAACAAGAAGGAGAAAGAGTAATCAATCAGAAACGTACGTGGATGAGCAGCCCAACCCTGTTCACCACCCTTGATTTTCTCAGGGAGAGCATAATTAACAGTGAGAACACGACCATAAAGCTCAGCACCATCCATATTATCCATGGCTGCAGAAGCGTCTTCTCTTTCAAGAAACGTGACGAATCCGAAGGATCTGTGCTTCTGATTCGCTTGGTCCAACGGCGTCTTCACGTCTTTGATATCGCCGAAAGGTATAAACGCAGCGTGAAGGATCGATTCGTTAACCTCATCAGCTAAACCTCCTACGTATAAAGTGTTCTTCTGCATCGCTTGTTGCTGTTGAACTGCCGCCATTGTTAATAATCTCTTTCTCCGAATTCCTTCTCAGAGAAAATTGGAAAGACGACGAGATCGATTTTTTTTTTTTTGCGAGAGAATAATCGCTCTCTAATATAAATGGGCTTTTTTGCGGTTTGGCCCAATACGAAATATTTGTTTTTGGCGGTTCGGCCCAATTATCTCGTGGTATATATAACATTTAAAGCCCTCGAGATAGTCTCTTCTGAGAAACAAGACAATGTTTAAAAGACATGGCTCTAGTTTGGAATTGCTACCACACGATGTTGTAGAGCTCATACTCGAGAGACTTCCTGTGAATTCTCTGCTGAGGTTCAAGTCTTTATCCAAAGACTGGAAATCCACAATCGAGTCCAAGCGTTTCGAGGAACGACAGTTGATCCGTCGTAAGCAATCACGAGGTCCAGATGTCCTCTACGTGTCCCTTCACGATGATGAAGCTCCGAAGAGAATTGTTTTTGGGTCGTCAATAGTTTCTACGATCAAGTTCCCTACTATTTGCTCCATTGTTTGCTATGGTAGTTGTGACGGTCTCGTATGTCTCTATTGTGTCTCCACACCGGGTTTTGTGGTCAACCCCGTCACTAGATGGCATCAAAGTTTTCCTCTTTCCAGCTTTCAACAGCTCCGCATGGCCAGGCTTAATAAAGGAGATTTTCACGCTCCAAATTATAAGCTTGGATTCGGTAAAGACAAAGTTAAGGGCACATACAAGCTGGTCTGGTTATATAATTCATCTGAATATGGCCTAGACAACGTTACTACTTGTGAAGTTTTCGACTTTAGCACCAACGCTTGGAGGTACCTTGTCCCTGCTTTTCTCTTCGGGTTCTTTCTTACCATAAACCCGTGTACTTAGATGGGTCACTTTACTGGTTCACTGCCTGTGAAGAAGAAACCAAGATATTATCTCTTGATCTTCACACCGAGACTTTCCAAGTCATCTCTAAAACTCCCTTTCCCCATGTATCTAACCCACTTGATGTCAACATGTGCATCCTCGATAACGGCTTGTGCGTATCTGAGAAAAATTGGCCCATCCAAGTCATATGGTTGTTTGACTCTTCAAGCACATGGAAACAAATGTGTTCCATAGATCTTACCAAAACTTTTTCTTGGTTCGGGGACAGGGCCGGCCCAATCACATTTGCTGCCCAAAGCAGAAAAATAAAATTAGTCTGAGGAATCGAACTCAGGATAGGTGTGTAAGGGAAAATTGTCTTTACCACTAGACCATGAAGCAACTTTTGTACCGAAATGCTGCCTCTAATATATAAAGGTTATTTTTGGCGCCTAAAGCCTTTGCTTCATGGGCTTTAGCCCAGGCCGGCCCTGTTCGGGGAACCCAAATGCGTACTCTATCCGATAGCAATTCTTGACAAGAATAAGCTATTACTGCATGCTCGTGACTCGTGAGGACTTTCAACCAGTGGAGAAACAACCAGTGGTGATACATGATCTCCGTACCAAATCCTATGACTTTGTCTTCAGACCTACCACCTTCGGGTTTTCTATTTATTATTTCCAAAGTTTATTTTTTGCTCTACCAATTTGTAACCATTGTAATCTAACATTTTGTAATTTAAAGATGGTTTTCTTCTCTTCATTGCTTCTTGTTATATTCATTTTTCTTGTATTTGTTGCTGGTGTTTGCGTACGTAAGTTGACCAGTCATACATGTCCTGTTGAGAGCCTTGTCCCTATGAGATAACCACAACCTTGGTCTCCATCTGCCTCGTGATTATATTGGCCTCTATGTTGGTGTGCAATCTATCGTTAACCTGTTTCACTCAAATCATCTCTGTACCTTCTCTCTTACTTCCTGTAACAATCCCATCCTCCCACGTTTCATGTTATAATCTATGTTCCTCGACTTCTCGTATTTAATTAAAAATATTTTAAAAATTTCAACTAATTAATGTCTAAATACTTTCTAAGGAACCGGGCCTTGTGGCCTAGTGGTAAAGGGTTACATCTGTGACTTCCGCCACCAGGGTTCGAGACACGACCACTGACAGGTTTACATAGGGGAATTGCCAGCTTCGTGGGATTAGTCCTTGGGCCTAGGAAGCCTTTGGGAGACCCGCAGTTATTCAAAAAAAAAAAATACTTTCTAAGTACTTTTGTATATAAAAAAAGGTAATAGAAATAAAATTAACAAGCATGCACATCATCACGTCCACATAGAAGCTCTCCATTTAGTTTATCAACCGCTTGAAATGTTCCTCCTCCATCACTCCTCTGTTTCAACCCAACAAAAATATAACATTAAAATTCATTACTACATACATATGTTTGTGAACCATATTAATATATATAACCTTACCTTGTAAAAATTGACGGCGACAAAATTGGCCCATCGGTTCCCTGCGGCTACGTAACATGTCTTAATCATATCGAGAAGTTGTTCAGAGTTTTCCTCACAAGTCAATATCTTAACCGGAACTGTCTTGAAATGGTTTACCAAAACCAATGATTTGGTTGTATCGGTTAACAGTGCAGAATCTGCTCTATTGCTACATTCATCTGGTTTAACTCCATTGTCCCCATCTAACAATTAATACCACATTGAGATTAATCGGTTATATCTAAATCAACTAGAATTAAACCAGAATTTTGGTATCTCATCACACTCACATTGGTTTTCCACTACGTAATTCCACTGGTAAGCTATTCCTTCGGTTTCTTGCTTCGATTTAGCTGAAGTAAAAACGATTAACCGGTGGTTATTGGCGACCATATCCTTAACCAACGGCCAATCTTGGCCACCTAAAGGCATATTTTGAACCGGAAACCAAAATTTCTTCAAACCGGAATCGGTAAACACTTTGGTTAACCCGTTTTGCGATTTGACGTAATCCTCCAATAGTAATGTCACGATCTCTGATGGATTCGCTGTCAAGAACGCGAATATCTCCTTGAATGTGTCTATCGCCCGATTCTAAAAAAGTGACATATATAACAAAACAATACAAGACAAATCATTCGTACCAAAACATTGCATGTTAGGATATTTTCTCATCCAATAAAAGACAAAACTAAGGCTCCAATTGCTTCAAAAGCAAATTATGTGCCTCCCTATTTTTAATTTTCACAATACTTTTTTGCAAATTGAAAACACAAACATGTTTCACACACACACACACAAACGCAAAGAAAAAACTAAAAATCATCTCGTTTGAGTTTTATTTACGTGTGTTTATAAGTTTCAATAAATGTTAAATAAAATAAAGGACTAAAAGATTATTTTTTCTTTTAAACGTAATTACAATATTTAAAAGGAGATTATTTTTGAAAATGCAAATGCAAAAAAATATGATTCAGTTGTTTATATTCTAAACTAGCCTCTATTTTCAAACGTTCGCTAAATAATTTTTTTAGTTTTACTCGGTTTACTTTTGGTTAGTGAAATCTAGAGATTGAACTTACAAACTTGGTGAACTCAAAGCATTGTTCGTCGAACGAATGGCACAACCATACGTCTCCTTCGTAATCGTACGTATCCAACATCAATGCTCGAACACCACTCTGAACAAATAACATAAGATTCACGAGATAGAAAGATAATAATAGCTAGTTACGAAACATACAATATTTATTTATTGATTAGTAAAACGCACATTGAGTTGTTGCACTATAGTATCTTCTTGGGTCGCCACATGAAACGGTTTCCCTTCAATGGCATATGAATTGTGGGTCGTCAAAAATGCATATTTATTGAACGGCATCGAATTGTTCTGTAACAAAGTAAACAAAAATCATTAAGGCTTCATTATAGTCTGCCAAAAACTAAAAGATTTGTTCTGGCCCGATTAGAAGATCAGTTCCCGGTAGTTAGACCGTAAACTCAAGAGTCGCAGATCAAGCCTATCTTATGTCAATATCAACACATCTATATCTCAATAATGACTAATGAGAGGCTTATGTTTGTTGGAAGAATTATGTTCACCTTTAGTGCTATCACTATTCAAGAAGAACCAAACATATATACCAATTGGTCAATATCCATCAACTAATTTTTGACAGTCACAAACATACATAAATTATAAACACTAATATACTTCCATGATCTATAAAGAAAAAGAAAAAAAAAAGCTTTATTAAAAAGTTGTTTCTTACTTACCACAACGGAGAATTGATCTGTGATATTTGATCTAACGCATCTTGCAACATCTACACCGCATTTAAAACAACCAAGTCCAACATTGCAGTCTTCGTCCGACGAGCATTGATCGCCGAGCTGAATTGTAACATAAATGATAAGATCCCTAAAAATGTGAATACGGATTCGATTTGAGCTCCTCTAAGGAAATACCGAAATGCTGATGATAATCTCAGCATTCGCATATGGCATCTTTGGATCTCAAGATTAATCTGAATTTCGGTGGAAATCACCTTTAAGAAAATCGAAAAAATAATTTTAGTTGTGGCTTACCTGAAATGAGCCATAGGAAGCACCAAAAGAGATTGCTCCGGGATGAAACATAACCAAGATTGTGACTGCAAAGGAGAATTTGAAACTGGCCATTGTTACTGCTGGCTTGTTGCTTTGACCAAGGGATATATGAACATTCTTAGTCAAACGTTATAGTATAGCTTTGAAAAAGAACTGATTCAATTTTGGAGTCTTTGTAAAAAAAAACTTTAATTGGAAAACTTTCCTTAAGGTTTAGTAAATTTATTTCTTTGGGTAACCTCTTGAATAGTAATTAATGTTTTCACAATTGGAAGCAAAACAAAAGGAAATGATCACACGAAGAAGGAAGTAATCCATATTTAATTTGACTAGTTTTAAAATTTTCAAATTCCATAATACAGTAAAACCACTATAAATTAATAATATTGGGACTAGCAAATTTTATTAATTTAGAGAGGTATAAATTTAGGGGCTTTTGCAAAAATGCCACTTTTTCAATGCCACTTTTCAAAAATACCCATTTTTTAAAACCTTATAAAAAATGCTCTTAAAATATAAGATTTACCCAAATATGTATGTAATATTATTAAAACATACACAAACTACATTTCTATGTATCTAAAATCTTATAAATACTTTATAAATACCTTATAAATGCATTTTAAATACCTTTAAAAACCTTTAAAATATCTTGTAAAACCTTTAAAAACCTTAAAAAATCCTTTAAAATAACTTGTAAAACCTTTAAAAACACCTTATAAAACCTTATAAATACTTGGATCGAGTCTTCAAGTAGTAGTTACAATCCATAAATACCTTATAAACCTAATAAAACTTTATAAAAATTTCAGATTTAAAAAGGGGCATTTTTGAAAATGGACATCTAAAAAGGGCATTTTTGAAAAGGGGCACACCAAAAGGGGTATTTTTAACAATTTCCCATAAATTTATCGATAAATTAATAATTATTAATTTATAGAGAATGGTTTTACTAATTTTGTAATTTTTTAAAAACAATTCTATCTAAAAATATTTTTTTTCTTTATAATTATAAGTAATATCTTTTAAAAACTAATTACAAATAGAGAAACAATTATTAAGTTTAAAAAAATAACACAAACTTTTTTCGAATAAAAGAGTCATATTTTATTAAATTTTTTACATAGAATATTTTAAATATATATCATAGTAATTCAAATATGAGATATATAAATTTATATCATATCTATATATATATTGATAAATTTATACGATTATTAATTTATGATATCGATGAGACCATATATTTATATGAGATTTTTTAAAAAATTATTATCTTATTAATTTATTAATTTATGTCATATTTTATACTGGTCCCAACTCGGGACCGGAAGAATTTATTAATTTAGAGATGTTATTAATTTATAGAGGTTTTACTGTATGTAATGCAAATCTTATATGTAATAGATAAAAAAAGATAATTAAAATGAACTAATCTATAGGTTTTGGTCTTAAATTAAAATAATTTTCATTTTTAACTACATTTTTTCAAAGATGTTGATATAAATTTTCACAATAAAAATGTGTATTAAATACACTAATATTATATTCTTATAGATTAGTTGGTTATTTAAGATATATACTGTACGTATATTAAATGACCATATGTTGACTGTATATTTGCTAAAAAGACAGATAGAATAGAATTGTATATATGTTTATTAATAAATAGCATGTTATTTTATTTAGTCGTTATTATATTTATACATGATACCATATACATATACATATATATATGTTAGAAACAGGCAAAAAATTATCCCAATAAAATTTTTTTTGCCATAACATATATTTTTTTTGGCTAAAATATCACCCAAGACGACAATGAATAAATTTACGACAATAAACCCAATCATCAACCAAATAGACAACAACCAGCCTCAATATTGTTTAGAACTTTACCTAAAATAAGATTTTATTTGTCATCAACTAAACCTTAAATAAGATTTGTTTTAAAAAGAATGTAGAATAAAAATTGTAGCCAAATCCTGTGATTTTCTATCTTCTTAAATAAGATTATACATTCTCTTACAAAGATTATCACAAATCTTGTTCGAGGACACAACAGATCCATGCTTTTCATTATTTAGTGTGCTCTAGAGCAGCTTTTATATTATAACAACTGCTTTTTACAACATGCTCTGACAACTGTTATGAGTATTGTCATATATAAAAGTTACTGTTTGGAGTATTAATTGCGTATTACTTTTTTAAAAATGTATATTAATTTTCATATAGTAGAACAGTAGCTAGCAGTGGGGAATGAAGATGCATGATCTGGGAAGACCCATCAACTTAATTCAACCAAAATTGTTTTAAAGATATATAGAGAAATTGCATGATAGGTGATTAGGTGTTGTCATAGTAGGGTGAAAAGATGATTGTTAGGGTTTCAGAAAAAGGAGAGGTTGCTGACATCGAGTTAGGTTTTTTTTTGTTGACTATTGGTAGATTTGCAATTGACTAAATTCTGCTAGTTTCATTATAAAATATCCAAAGAGTGCTGCCACCACACAAATTCACCCTAAAACATATGAATTGACGAATATAACTTTGTAAAAGGTGGAAAATAAAAGTAGCCGAGAGTGTACCGTTTCAAAAAATTTCTATCGAGTAACATTTAGAATAAGTGGTGCAACCTCGCTTAATAATAATAACTAAGACTGAGTTTACATTAGAGGATTATTTTCCGGACCGTTCTTCATTAGGGGTTTGTTTTAGCAAACAAATCCAACTCAAAAAGATCAGATTCAGAACTTGAATCACTCTCGCATCCACCATTTACATCATTCTCATCTCCCGCACTTGGATTTTTACACTCAACCCTTTGGACCGAATAGAGACTCTCACAAAACCTTATGTTCAGCTTCTGATCACTCTTCTTCAAATCTTTCACGTCTTTCTCATCAAAGCTTCTCCTACGCGCGTTTAAACTCCACGCGCCGGCACAGGAAATTGGAGAAGACGCTTCAACGTGTGTGGTTACCACGCAGCTCTTCCTCCTCATCCTTTCTCCTCGTGGAGTCTCCACCTCCGTAGTTGACTTTGACTTCTTTAGACCAGCTGAGCGAAGAAGAGAGTTCAAGAAACTTGTCAGCTTCTTACCACCGCCACGTGTCATCTCCTTCTTCTGCGGCTTTATGACGACGACTCTAGGTTTCGGGAGTTGTTCCTCTGTCTCAGGGTGTACTCTCTTCTGTCGATTTTCTGTAACGATGCTTTGTTTATGAATTTGGATCATCGTTGGTTCGTTGAAGTCGGAGAAATATCGAGTGGCTTCGAAGACGTCAAGTTCGCCGGAGACATTTCTCTCGCAGTTTGGTTTATGTGTTTTCTCTTCTGATGTTGAAGAATCTCTAGCCATCTCCGACATTGTTGTTTCTTGAGGTTCAAGATTTGAGATTGGGTAATTAGTAATTGTGGTATGAGAGAAGAAAGATGGTGCGTCAGATTTATAGAAAGCAAGGAATCGGTTAGCTGAACCGGTCTAAACCCGGTTATTATCTAAGTTATCCTCAGCTCAGAAATTAATATCCCACTTGATGTTGAAAATAATAGTGAAATGAAAATCTTAGCAAGTTTAATTATATGTTTCTATGTGTTCATAGGAATGCCACGTTATTATCAATGAATATTCACACCTTTTTGGGCTGTCATGCAAGTTCTCAAACCCTTTTATGGTCACAAAGGCAAAAGGCGATAAAGATAAGATGACCCATTGATCAATTTGGTGGGAGAATTTTATATAATGATTAGATATATATATAGTATTAGTAGGTACCAAAAAAGTAGAGGTCTTAAAATCAATTATCTTTACATCTTGGGAAGTTGGTTAAGAATTTTTATTTATTTATTGTTATTGGACTATATAGCATTCTACTCTATAGTATAAAGAGAACTTATGTGAGAAACTGTGCGTTGCAATAATATCTAAACATGTGTTTCAGTGTTTATACATCATATTGTCAAGTTTTGTTATTCATAATTATTTTAAACAGAGCTATGATTATTTGAAATAGAAGCAAATATATTCACTAAAGTTGTAAACTAATATCATAATCAAATTATTCATATGTTAAACATTATTTAATGATTTCCTTAAATTTTTTGAGTAATTGGTTCTTTTTATCTAGGTGGATTTCAACTGTTTCGACAATTACGTCACGAACAACAGACATAAAATGACCATAATTGATTGATCCAATTGTGACCAAGTTCAAAGAAGAGCAGTCAAAGAATTAATGGTGTACATGAACTGGTGTTGGATCACTTACTTTTTCTTCTTTTTTTCTACTCTGACATCTTTCCAGTGTATGCAAAAGAAGGAACAAGATGGAACTTGTATGTTTGTTGATTCTTATCAACAAATGAAATTTAAGTAAGTAGAGGAAAAACATTCACACACAAGATTGCAGTGGGTTCGTAAGAGCATATGCATCGCCAAAACACATCAGGTGTTTTAAGAATATTAAATTAATAAAAGGCTTGAACAGTATAAGACAAAGTGGAATTGTGTTTCTCTCCGAAAACTGTTCTTAAGGTGTTCTAAGAGTATTATGAGCACGTGTCTTTTGTGTATTAGTCCTCTTTTTTTCTTCTTTTTTCTTTCTTTTTTTTCTTCTCTCTCTTCTTAATAAAATAATGTTAAAAACACAAATCAGTGTTTCAGCGTTACCAATGCTCTAAGTACACACTATTATAGCAATATTTTAGTTTCCATGTATAGCACGTGTACATGTGTTTCTTTAATGATTTTTTTTTAATAAAAATGAGAATTACGCTAAAACCTCTTGAAATATTATAATATCTAACAAATTGACCATTCAATCGCAATACATGAAACTAAGACGAATGATTTCATAATTATAAATTAGAATCTTTCAAAAAAAATATATTCTTCAAGACGTCTTGTTTTTATGCTTTATATGTCATGGTAACGTACAAATAAAATAGAGCTCCCTATAAAATGAAATTGAAGAATTCTTTAAGAAAAATCTAAAAACAAAAAAAATGAGTTAATTTCTAGGAGACAAATATAAATGATTGATAAAGATCATATATGTGTATGAACTGAATGCCAAAGAATGCTTTGATGGGCTCTAGATGGTCTTGACTCTCGAGGATGAGAGAGTCATGTCTCTCTAATATAAATGGGGCCAAATTGTTGTTGTCTTAACATCCATTGGGCTTGAGTATATTATATACCCATTCACCATTTCGGCCATGATTGATATTCCAATAGATGGGTACTGTTTTTCTTTCAATAGATATTATATCATAATGAGTCTCTTACACAGATACTATCATACTATACCAGAAATTGTTACAATTTAACGGAAGAGAATTTCAAAGTTGGTCAATTTCAGGCTTTAAGAATAAAATTGCATAACCAAAGACGGTTTTGAATTATATGTTCAAAGTTGTAGATTGTCTATATATATTCTATGTTAGAAATTTCAAAGTTATTTATGAATGTTTTGTGATATTCTTTTTTTTTTTGAATTTAATGTTAAATTATATTCAAAAGAAAAATAAACGTTTTCTACAACTTAATGCGATACAATTCGAATCATTTTTAAGACATTAAAAAGCAAACAGAGTCTTCTCTAGATCTTTGATGCAAACCAAGTTTGGAGTCCGCTTGAGGCTCCTCTCCCTTCCATTGTGCTCAACCGATTACGGACATTTTTATCAATTAACTTGACGAGTATCTCTGTTGGTAAAGGCTGTTCACCGTGTCTCCTTCTATTCCTCTCATTCCATATTGTAATATTCTTTCTTCACTTAAAAGGGTTGTTTAGTTCGGAGAAATAAAAATCCACTTTTTTCCTTCCTTTTCAAAATGTTTCGATATTTTTCTGAATTATGCAACGCTTTTGAGAATTGTACTTCGATTCTGTATGGATTTTTTTTTTCTTCTATCGATTTGTTTTAAAATTTTCCTAGAACATTGAAAAGGTATGATGGTACATGCTCGGTTTACAATTTATCACTAGGAGAAAATCCAAGTTACGCTCGGATAAACATTTGAAGGCTTAGGTAATTTTGTTTTAAATTCTATTTTTAGTTCTTTGGTATAAACAAAAAAAATCATATGATATTCTATTTTACTATTTTTACCAAAATGTCTAAAGGGTACTACTACTTAAATCTAACACCCATCCTTGAATCTTAAACTCTGGTTTGATTTTGATAAGAGTATTTGGGATTTTTGTTTATCGTATTAATCTCGTTCGGATTCATGACCTTCTCGTCCATCATCCCAACTCTAAAATAGTATCGGGTTATGTCTTTTGAAAACGTTGGAATATGAGTTTCTCTGGAGAATTGAGAAACGATCGTTATTGGAAGGCAATTTTACTATAGTACGTGTAAAGCTAGAAGATTTTTAGATGGTCAATCTTAATCTAGCGAAAGAGTTATTAGGTGCTCTGAATTTAATAGATTTATATGGATTCGTGAGAACATGGAAACAAACGTTACAATCAATTGTGAGAATGAGGATCTACGCTCTTTTCTTTAAAAACTTAGAAGTATTATTACCCATTGCTGACATGACATCATAATTTGGTTTTGCAAAGAGTTTTCATTGAAAAAAATTAAAAGATGAGGTAACAGATTGTGAAAAACTACATTTTGCTGATGTGGATGATTTGGAAAACCTAAAGGACCTTTTTTTATTAGTAGTTGATTTGTTTTTGAATATTTTTGGGGTTTTTGAAAATAACTTTACTTATTTGGGCCAAACCCAATAAAACTCACATTGCATATATTTGCGCGACCACATATGAGCTCATATAACATACGAGCATAGATTACAAAAATATTATCTTATTTCCACGTGTATGGTTTAAGTTGATGTGGATGATCTGAGAAACCTGAACAACCTCTTTTTAGTTGTAGTAGATTTGTTTTTGAATATTTTTGGGTTTTTAGAAATAACTTTACTTATTTGGGCCAAACCCAATAAAACTCACATTGCATATATTAGTTCGAGCACATATGAGCTCATATAACATAAGTGCAGATTACGAAAATCTTATCTTCTTTCCACGTGTATGGTTTAAGCTGATGTGGATGATTTGAGAAGCCTGAACAACCTCTTTTTATTTGTAGTAGATTTGTTTTTGAATATTTTTGGGTTTTTGGAAATAACTTTACTTATTTGGGCCAAACCCAATAAAACTCACATTGCATATATTAGCTCGAACACATATGAGTTCATAGAACATAAGTACAGATTACGAAAATCTTATCTTCTTTCCACGTGTATGGTTTAAGCAGTTGGATCATAATCGTATGGTTAAAAAGTGGATCCTAATCCTATCAGGAATCAGGATTAAAGCATTTTGACACAATTTTCATGATGATTAGGGTTAAGAAGCCGACCCCCTTATAAATAGAGAGTGAGATATCTTGACTACCCAGACCAAAAACTCCTAGTTAAGAGATTCTGACTACCTTCAAGTTATGAATTGAGACAATCTTGTTCTCTATTTGTTAGGGTGATTAAATATCGATAAAGATTACCTTATATTTTTGATTCGTGTTTTCCGAAGATTTTTTGAACTAATTCGCTTATTTTTTCTAAAACAGGAGTGGTGTTTCAGTGGTGGTAAGAGGATAATATTTCTTGAGAATGTCTGCCTACATTTCTGAGGTTTGGTTTTTTAATTAATTGCAAAATTAAACGGCAAGAAACTATTCTTTTGTTATTATATATGCTCAAATTAATTGCACAGATTGTTGTTACTGAAATTAGTTGACATTTCAACGATTTTTTTGGATTTTTGTACTATATGTTTTTGTATTGGTGAAACAGTAAAACCATGCTTTAGATTTTAGTGTGAATCATTATTAGCGTACTTTTATTTAGATTCTAGTTGTTGTCTTTTTTGGTGAGATTTAGATTCTAGTTGTTAGAGGCATTGAAATGTGACTCCATGGTTAAGTATAATATTTTTATTTTTTTACAATAAAATAATTCAGTTTTTATGAAATAATCCAATTATTTAATGATTTTCATAGTTTAATTGAAAGCTTGTGTAATCCTATGATCCAGGAGAAGTTGTTCTTCAACAAGAAAGATTCTGTCAACGTAAATTCGAAACCTTTTGGATCCAAAATATCAGATGTCAGCGAAATTGAAGAATTTGATCAAGAGACTTTGATTGTGACAAGTCAAGAAGCTAAGGATGATTCCAAAGTGGCACCGAGGGACGTAGTAGCTACATCAACAAATGTCTCTAAGAAGGCTTTAACCATGGGAGATATTTTATCAATGGAGGATTCCCAAATACCACCCAACAAAAACAACACTCATGGACCTGAGGAAAACATAGTCCATCATGACACACAACTGGAGATAACAGAGGAACCGGAGATAACAGAGGAACCAGAAGCAGACAACTTTTGTGATGAGAATCTCTTGTCAAGGAATCTCCCAAATGGTTTCAGGGAAATAAGTTATTGTGAGGCTGAGTCAAGTTTAGCTTATATAACTTACTGTGGACCAAGATCAGGCTCCGAAAACCTCTCTTTTCGTTCTGATGGAACCAGCGCAAGCTCTTTCGTTTTCCCAATGTAATATACATGCATACACTCACATACATTTTTGTGATCTGTTAGTTCTATAAACTTTAATTCTGTGAAATTTTTGTTACAGACCGCAATCGGAGTGGAACAGGAGTCCTGTAAGAGTGGGTAAAGCTGAGGAGACACAACTTCGAATGGTGAAAGCTGAGGAGACAAAACTTCAAATGGTGAAAGCTGATAGGACACAACTTCGAGTGGTGAAAGCTGAGGAGACTCAACTCCAAAAGGAGAACGCTGAGGAGACTCAACTTCAAAAGGAGAAAGCTGAGGAGACACAACTTCGAATGGTGATAGCTGAGGAGAGACAACTTCGAAAGGAGAAAGCTGAGGAGAGACAAATTCGAAAGGAAAAAGCTAAGAAGAGGCAACTTCGAAAGGAGAAGAAAGGATGGAGACATTACTCCTCTCTTCTCTGTTGTAGATTCTGATGGATTTTCTATCAGAATTTCTTGTTTTTTTTTAAAAAACCTTTTTAGGCTTTGTATTCGATTTACAAAGACCGTTCGAATAAAAACAGAAAAGAGTGATTTTTCTGTAATGTATTATTTCGTAGGCCTCAAATACTTTATCGTGGATTTTGCGAGTTAGGTTTGTTTTTCTTTTCAGTTTAACGTGGTGGCTTCAATCACAAGGAAACATTAAATACACCTCGTGCAGCAAAACTATCATCAACTCTTGATAGGTTACATGGGCTTTTTTAAGTTCTAAGGCCCATTTGTTTGTCAACTACATGCATCAATCGTCACTAAGTCGGTCTAGTTGTCACGTCATCACCTCTTATCCTAACGTGTACTTCTCACTAATTGCCACGTATCATCTACTAATCGAACGGCTTTGGTCTCATGTGGACTCTGTAGATCGGACGGCTCTCTTTTTTTGTTCTAGACCCTTCTCAGAGTCGAGGATAATGGTAAATGTTTTTTTTTTTTTTACTTCTTTCAAATATTACTGCATTTTTTGTAATATTTTAATTTGTCAGCCAATAATCACTCTTTTATTGATATAGATATAGCTCCAAATTTCGAAACTAAAGTAAAGACTTTTGTATTTCTCATGTAGAATTCTTAAAATGCAACATATATACGGTTAATAATATGAATAATACTATAATAGATCATCTACCAATTTAGATGATCTTATCACACACGATATAAAATTCTCAGATATCTATAATCTATAATGTCACAATCATTCAAATATCTATAATCTCAAATGGTGTAGCCAAAAAACAAAAATAGAATTACATGAATAATGAAATTTGACAAGGAAAAAAGAATTAAAATACAAAGCTGACGTGGCACTGGTTAAAAATGATGTAGCAGGAATGGTCCATACTTATGCTGAGAGTTAAAAAAGCGTCGTTGAGAGGTTAGAGACGAAGAAAGGAGGCAGAGATAGATAGCGAGGCTAATGGATCAGTGACTCACTGAGTCAGATTTTACCGATTCATTGCCTCCATTGAAGCCTCTTCTCTCAGATTCTACGCTTCACTGTCTCTTCTCCATGTGCGTCTCTTCAGATCTTGTTCTCCGGTGAGTTCTTCTTCTTCCTCGTTACCTTCTCTTTCGAAATCTCCTTTAAATTTCGTTTCTTTGGTTTTGATTTTTTCGTTTTGTTCTTCGATTTGTGTAAAGTGAATAAATTTCTGTAATCATGATTACTGTTAAGTTTCTTGGATCAAGATGTATCTTGTGGGAAGTGTGAAGAAAGTAGAAATTTTTAATGATTTGTGTAAAAAGCCGAGAAAAAGAAGGTTGCTTTATATATTACAACTGTATACAATAATCAAATCTTCAAGATTTCTGATCTATGTTTCATCTTTTTATGCAGATTTTAATCTTCTTCTCTCTGGTACCACCTATAAAGCATGGTTTACCTGATGTAGTGTCAGGCTAAAGGGTCTTGTTTTCACTTCTGTCTGGTGGAGCTTGTGTTGGTTTAAGACGGAGGCGTTGTTGTTCTGAAGAGATGGCAATGGCAGTGTTTAAGGCTCCTCTTAAAGGGGAATTTCATGGGGCTAGAAAGATGGAAGGGAAACAGTATAAGCATCATCTTCTTCAGCAACAGTCTTCAGGGAGGAGACGTGTGTTCGTGCAAACCGAAACTGGCTGTGTTTTGGGAGTTGAGTTGGATCGTAATGACAATGTTCACACTGTGAAGAAAAGGCTTCAGATTGCGTTTAACTTTCCAACTGAGGAAAGCTCTTTGACCTTTGGGGATATGGTGTTGAAGAATGACTTGAGTGCTGTGAGGAATGATTCACCGCTTCTCCTGAAGCGTAACTTAATGCACAGAAGTTCGTCTACTCCGTGTCTTTCACCTACTGGGAATGATCTACAGAGGAAAGATCGAAGTGGTCCTATTGAGATACTTAGTCACTCGCATTGCTTTATGTCTTTGAAGCAAACTGCGAATGACATTGTTAAGGCGATGAAGATGGGTGTTGAACCAATCCCTGTCAATGGTGGGCTTGGAGGGGCATACTATTTTAGGAATGAAATGGGTCAAAGCGTTGCTATTGTCAAGCCTACGGATGAAGAACCGTTTGCTCCTAACAATCCTAAAGGCTTCGTAGGGAAAGCACTTGGGCAGCCTGGTTTAAAGCCTTCTGTGCGAGTTGGGGAAACTGGGTTTAGAGAAGTTGCTGCGTACCTTCTTGACTATGATCACTTTTCTAATGTTCCTCCCACGGCTCTTGTGAAGATAACACACTCTGTTTTCAATGTCAATGATGGAATGGACGGGAACAAATCTCGTGAGAAGAAGAAGCTGGTCAGCAGCAAGATTGCTTCGTTCCAGAAGTTTGTACCTCATGATTTTGATGCCAGTGATCACGGGACTTCAAGCTTCCCTGTCGCTTCTGTGCACCGCATTGGGATATTGGACATAAGGATTCTCAACACAGACCGGCATGGTGGAAACCTGTTGGTGAAGAAGCTTGATGATGGTGGTGTTGGGAGGTTTGGTCAAGTGGAGCTTATTCCAATAGATCATGGTCTTTGCTTGCCAGAAACACTCGAAGATCCTTACTTCGAATGGATTCATTGGCCTCAGGCTTCAATACCTTTCTCTGAAGAAGAACTTGACTACATACAAAGTCTTGATCCAGTGAAAGATTGTGAAATGCTTCGAAGAGAGCTTCCAATGATTCGAGAGGCTTGTCTCAGGGTTCTAGTTCTGTGTACTGTATTTCTCAAAGAAGCTGCTGTTTTTGGACTTTGTCTGGCAGAGATTGGTGAGATGATGACTCGAGAATTTCGTGCAGGAGAAGAAGAACCAAGTGAACTAGAAATGTTGTGTATCGAAGCCAAGAGATTAACCTCTGAAAAAGACGTTTTATCTCCCAAGTCAGATGTAGAAGGAGAGACAGAGTTTCAGTTTGACATAGACTACAATGACCTAGACTTGGTTTATGGCTCTGAGACAGGAACCAATGAGTTCTTTGCCAAGAACTCATTTTCATACGGATGTTCTTCACTTGGAGAGCTCAAAGAGAGCATTGCGGAAGAAGAAGAAGACGACAAAGATGAAACAATACTTACTATATCTCTCTCAAAGCTTTCCACATCAATGAAGAACAACAATCTAAGCAACACCATGGGATCTGGACACCTGAAACCTCCGAGAGACAACAAAACCGACAAAGCATTGGTAAGTCACAAGAGCGCGAACGTGCAGCTCCCTGTTAGCGCAAACTTTGTGAAGTTAGCGGACATGAAAGAAGTCGAATGGGTTGTGTTCTTGGAGAGGTTTCAGGAGTTGCTTCACTCGGCTTTTGCAGAGCGCAAGACCCTGACGTTGAGGAACACACAGAGACTTGGTACATCGTGCAAGTTTTGAGATCATATGACTATATGAGTTCACATAAGAGAATACCAAAGATTTTACTTTCACGAGTTGAGTTTTGAAGCAATTACTTGTTAGCTACGTTAAACTATGTTAAGATTAGTTTACTTTTGTAGCATCCACGAGCACTTGCAACGTGAAGAAATGTTTTTTTGCCTGTAAATATTCTTTAACATTTTTTTTCCTAACTTCCTTTTTCTTCTTTTGTTTCGATACATTTTGCATCGTCTTTACAAGAATAACAATGGTCGCCCTACATAATAACATTGTTATATTGTTCTCCTCTCTATTTGTATAGAAAATTGAATTTAATTAATAATCATTTTTTTTTACATCTAAACAAAACCAAACCGAACTGAAAGAGCATGAAAGATCGATATATAAGAAATTAGTTAAAATATATAAAAGTTAAATCCAAACAAAACCAAAACCTGAGACATATCAAACTAAATCCAAAGAAAGTTTGAGCTCAAATCAATCCTTGTATTTCATTAGTAAAAATAGCACTCAAAAAACCGAAATTATATGTTTTAAAGAGAAACTGGATTAGACTCTCTCGCCAACCCAAGATCATATATGCCTCCATGGCCTCTCAGCAAGGCTCACACAATCACCATGTCTAAAACAATCGACGAGATGATCTATTGTTAACCCTGCAGCCTGCATGAACGAATGTACGATCACTGGACCGACAAATCGAAACCCTCGTTTGATCATATCTTTGCTAATTATCTCAGCCTTGGGAGATCTCAATGGTACATTTCTTGAATACTTGAATTTGTTAATGATAGGTTTGTAATCCATAAACCCCCAAATGAAGCTGCTGAATGATCCAAATTCCTTGACCACCTGTAAAATATAGTATTCTCTGGATCCATTATGGATAATTGAAAATGAATGTATATGGAACAATATACAATAAATTATAGGGCTGTTTTGGAAAATTGGAGAAAGGTTTGAAACTTGCCTTGGTTATGCATTTGGCATTGTCGACTATACACCTTACTCTACTCTCTTGTAACATTATTGCTTTGTTTGATGCAATTTCTGTGATATCTTTCTCTCCCATTTTGGCTACCAGATTTGGGTCAAACTCACAAAAGGCCTCTCTAGTTTAACAAATTATCAAAACACCTATAAATGATTATTTACATGTATAGTTTAGGATATTATGAATATGGCGAGAGATTTTACCTAAAGAGTTCTTTGCGTTTTATAATCTCGGTCCAATTATAGTCCATTAACATCCCCGACATCGCAAGTAACTCAAAAAGCAGGCTGTTTTAGTCATAAATCACCTTGCAATTAATTTCCTTTTTACAACATTAAGTTAGATATAAGCATATATAGTGTAACAAGAGGGAATTGGCATTTGATTGTATAAATATATGAAGTTAATCTCATAAAATTGTGGAAGCTATAATCATACTTATCATCATAGGCAGGGACTCCCCACTGCTGGTCATGAAACGTTACGTAGACTTCATCTACAACAAAATACAAAATAAAACTTTTATATATGTACCTATATACTTGACTTATAATGATCATTAATGGAATTAGATTTGGTTTATCACATTATTGATTCTCTAATTCACTTATATATATTTAGTTTAGCCGTTTAGCTATGATAAATATTAGATTAGGACATATCTTGATCTTACCACTTTTCTTGGTGATCCAATTGCACCTCTTTGGTTCATCACTATTGAAATCCTGACATAGTTGTTGTTCTAGTTGTTGCGGGATACTTTTTGGAACAAATGTTTCTCTTCTGTAGGGAGATGAGATTAAACCGAGTGCTAGAGAGATCTTTTGTTCCAACGTCGAATTTGAATCCGTGGAAACAGAATCGGTCGAGTTCTGAGAGAGTGACAGAGATATAGAAGAGATTGAGAATGAAGAAGAAGTGCTTCGTTGAAGCGTGATTGGGTAAATTCTCTTTAAGTGTTTTGCAAAGAAATTTGAGTTTTGCTTAGTCTCCTTCTCTCTTACATTCTTGCTTTTCTCCACAATCTCTCTTCTTTGAGGACTTGCTTTGTACATCTTTGATTTGGAGTAAGTCAAAACAAAGAATAGCATCAAGTACTTATAGGAGAGCAATGCACCATATAATGGAGGTTTTAAGTTAATGAATGTGGTTACATGATAGAACTAATTACACCTAAGTTGGTGAAATGTGGATTTCATATTTGTGAAATTTTACCGTATTTGAATATTTTCTTCATTGGTGTATATAGTTACAAAGAAACGGCAAAAAATCATATAGACATAGTGAAGTTTATTTAAGTTGAAAAAGAGATACTACGATTTTACATTTATTTAAGTTGTTTTTAGATCTAATGCATGCATCAAGAAAGGTGTCAAATAATCAAATTGGTGAAGTGATCCATCTTATTACCTTTTCTATATGTAATTTTACATTTAAAATTTAATCTGTTGTAGTTCTTCTTTCTGTACTTGATTTGAAATACTAATTGATAGATGTATAATTTAATTTGAGTATTATTGCATGAATGAAACTTTCATCTTCCAATAAGTTTTGTAGTGTTTTGTCATGTTAAAGTAAATAGAAAAGAAGAATTAATTACGGATTTTGCCCTTTTTTATAGTGGCATTTGTGGATTTTGCCATTTTTTGAATAGTTTGTAGATTTTGCCTTTTTTCAGGTTCCAAAAATATGATTTAACATGCGTTTCACTCGTTATGTTTGGGTTTAGTCGGTTCCATTTGTTCTTAGGGTTTAGTATTTGGTATAAAGTACGTATTTTTGCAAAAAAAATCACAAAATACGTACATTTTTAAGTGTTAAAAAAGGGCAAAATCCGTAAACTATTAAAAAAATGACATTTTCGTAAGTTTTTCCTAAAAAATGGCATTTTAGACAATAATCTCATAGAAGAAACAATTTCGGTCTGTGATGCCCTTAGATTAAAAAAACCACACTAGTCTAGTTCGCACTCATCACTTCTTCGTTTAGTGGAAAATATGATTATTGATATGGTTACGGTGAATTAAATAATTATAAACCAGATTATTCTTAGCTTCTACTCTTTGCTGCTGCATGCTCTCATGTTTAATAGAAATGAACGTTTCGCCTATTTTAGACAACGAACTCTCATCTTTTTTTTTTTATGTAATATACACTTTTTCTTACTACGTATGTGTTACTTTGTTAAATTTGTGATGCATGTAAAATATTTTTAACATCATCATATATTGATTTAATCAAATACGAAATGAAAAAAAAATAGATCAAATTGGACAATAGTACTGTCTAATTTGACTCTCTCACTTTCTAATTTTTGTAAACCGGCATGAAAGTTGAACCGGAGTATAAAATTGATTCGGTTAGTGGTTAACCGGAATTAGGTTTAAATCATAAACCCAATAATCGTAAAACCCTTTTTTTCTCCTCCGTCTGTTCTTCAAACTTGCCGGGAAAAGAAAACCAAAATTCTCTCCGGCGAACCTCAAATTCGCTTAATTTTCTCTGAAAAACGACAAGGGCATCTCCAGAAATCCCCCAATTGACAAACCCTAATCCACAAATTCCATGATCTGTAGATGGATTGCATTCAATTCAAGCAAAGTGTCTCGTACTCTCTCTTCTTTCTCTTCTTTCTTATTCACTAAATCCTCCTTCTCCGTCGCCAAACTCGAAGATGAGTCATCACCCACAACCAATTTCACTTCCGATCACAGAGACTTCTACCAAGAGATTCTCTTTGGGATGAAGAAGATTGGTTTCCGTGAGTTTCTTCACGGGCATCACTTTCGAGGCTTGGTTTCGGAATTGAGACAGATACACGTCGAAGATATCATGGCTGAATTAATGTCTGAAAGCTCAGATCTTTCGGTTTGGTTTTTCAAAGAGCTGAGAGATATTTATGGGTTTCGTCATTCCAGATTTTCCACATTGTTGGTTTCACATATTTTCGCAGGTCAAAGACGTTTCAAAGAGCTTCAAGTGATTCTGGAACAATTGCTCCAAGAAGAAGGCAAGTCCTCTACTTTCTTATTGTCTTCAATTTCAAATGAATTAAAGAACTTTAGGAGGAATTTTAGAGTTTGTTGTTTGGTTGGAATATGATTTGTTGTATCAATTTTCAATGTTTAGGCTCTGGTTCATCTTCTAGGCTTTGTGAACTTCTCTCTAATAGCTTCAGAAAGTGGGAGTCTACGGGATTAGTTTGGGATATGTTGTTGTTTCTTTCATCAAGATTGAGAATGGTTGATGAGTCTCTTTATATCTTGAAAAAGATGAAGGATCGGAACTTGAATGTGTCGACACAGTCGTACAACTCCGTTTTGTATAATTTTAGAGAGACGGATAAGATGTGGGATGTGTACAAGGAAATCAAGGATAAGAACGAGCACACGTACTCAACAGTTGTAGATGGTTTGTGTAGGCAACAAAAGCTAGAAGATGCAGTTTTGTTCCTCCGAACTTCAGAGTGGAAGGATATTGGCCCCTCTGTAGTTTCTTTTAATAGTATAATGTCAAGTTACTGTAAATTGGGTTTTGTAGATATGGCGAAGTCGTTTTTCTGTACAGTTTTGAAATGTGGATTGGTTCCTAGTGTATATAGTCACAATATACTCATCAACGGACTCTGTCTAGTTGGTTCTATCGCAGAAGCTTTAGAGTTGGCTAGTGATATGAATAAGCATGGAGTGGAACCTGATTCTGTGACATACAATATTCTTGTCAAAGGGTTTCATCTTCTCGGTATGATCAGTGGGGCTGGGGAGGTTATTCAAGATATGTTGGATAAAGGTTTGAGTCCTGATGTTATTACATACACAATATTACTATGTGGGCAATGTCAGTTAGGAAATATTGACATGGGTTTAATATTGCTGAAAGATATGTTGTCGAGGGGATTTGAGTTAAAAAGTATCATCCCCTATAGTGTAATGCTCAGTGGTTTATGTAAAACAGGACGAGTAGATGAAGCTTTGTCGTTATTCTATGATTTGGAAGCGTATGGTCTGACCCCTGATCTCGTGGCATATTCTATTGTGATTCATGGCCTGTGCAAGTTAGGAAAATTTGATATGGCTGTTAGGGTTTACGACGAGATGTGTTACAAAAGAATTCTTCCGAATTCTAGGACACTTGGTGCTATTATGCTCGGTTTATGTCAGAAAGGGATGTTACTTGAGGCAAGATCGCTTCTGGATTCTCTGATTTCAAGTGGAGACACACTGGATATTATTCTGTACAATATCGTAATTGACGGGTATGCAAAGTCTGGTTGCATTGAGGAGGCGTTAGAGTTATTCAAGGTAGCTATTGAGAGTGGGATAACTCCTAACGTTGCAACTTTTAATTCTTTGATTTACGGGTATTGCAAAACCCAGAATATAGCTGAGGCTAGAAAAATCTTGGATGTCATCAAGTTATATGGATTGGTTCCAAGTGTTGTGAGTTATACAACTCTGATGGATGCGTACGCAAATTGTGGAAGTATCAAAAGCATAGAAGAATTGCGCAGGGAAATGAAAGCAGAAGGAATCCCACCAACCAATGTCACGTACTCAGTGATTTTTAAAGGACTTTGCAGAGGCTGGAAACTTGAAAATTGCAACCAGGTACTCAGGGAAAGGATACTCGAAAAATTCAACCATGTACTCAGGGACATGGAATCTGAAGGTATAACTCCAGATCAGATCACATACAATACAATTATTCAGTATCTATGCAGAGTTAAACATTTATCCAGAGCATTTGAGTTATTTAAAAAAATGAAATCTCAAAATCTTGATCCTACGTCTGCTACTTATAATATTCTAATCGACAGCCTTTGTATCTACGGTTGCATAAGGAAAGCTGACAGGTTTCTCTATTCGCTCCAGAAGCGGAATGTTAGTTTGTCCAAATTTGCTTATACCACAGTGATCAAGGCACATTGTGTAAAAGGTGACCCTGAAATGGCAGTGATTCTATTTAATCAGCTGCTGGACAGAGGATTCAATGTTTCCATCAGGGACTATAGCGCGGTCATCAATCGTTTGTGTAGGAGACATTTAGCAATTGAGAGCAAATACTTCTTCTGTCTAATGTTATCTCGCGGTATTTCGCCTGACTTAGACATTTGCGAAGTGATGATCAAGTCAGATGAATTGCTTTCCTGGACAATCAAATGGGGTTTGTTGCCTGATCAGTAATCAGAAAAGTTTTGTCTGTTGTCCCATCTTATCTGCTAACTGCAGAAGACACGCATTTTCAGTAGAGAAACTGTCTCATGAGGTAAATGTTATTATGCTGTTACTGTAAAAAGAAACCAAAAAGTTACTTAGGTAATTATCTGATGTTTTATTGTCTTCCTCAGTGATCCAGTTAACAGATTAATCTTAGCTACTGGATGGTATCATCGGGCAACAATAGTATCACATTGGCTTCTTTGACGAATTGCGGTAAGTAATGAATCTTAGTAACCTTTGAAATTGATAATGTGAACTTATGAGGCCTTTTTGGTTAGATTGGAAATATGAACAGGGGACTTCTTATGTCTTCCACTTTTTATCAAGTTTCTACTTTCCTCAACCCAAACTCAAGTGTCCTTGGTCGTTTTGCTACTTGAGTCTAAGACTGTAATTACTTTCTTCAGGTTCTTCTGAAGATAAAGTCACTTGTTCTTGTGCTTCCCTAGCTTGGTTCAAAACGGAGGGAGGAATCAAAATGGTCCGGCCAGTGACAACAACCCCAATTATAACCTGTTTGGTCGTAAATAAGAGTATTTGATGCAAGTGGACAAAAGGGTTACTTCAGCTTTCTGTGAGGGACTAGGAGTCTGAGGCCATTCAACTACAAACCAAGACGGGTGAGATACATAATCCATTTTCGGAACCAAAAAGCTTTTTCCATTTTTCGACCAGATATCGCCGAAGATTCTTACTGTAACTTTTTGATAGTTTGTTGTTCTTGCTCATTCAAGAGCATATCTTGTCTCTCTGAAATATTCTTTTGTACCAATTCCCAACACTAATGTAAGATCAGCACTTAATTTAAGAGAAGGATAACATTAAAACAACACAACTTGGTTATTACATACCACTTGGCACTTTTTATAAAATGACAACATTGAGACAACACAATTTGGTTATACATAACACTTTTTATCTATAATTAGAACGATCGACAAACACAAAGCTCCCAAATACCCATTTATGTATTGTACCATCTTATATTGATTATAATAAGGAACATTTTGTTGAGTCTCTCTCTATAAGAAATTTGATCAGTTGTTCTTGGGAGGATGGTGCCTTGGTTTCCAGTAGTCAGCAGTGTAGGCAACGAGATCATCCTCTTCCTCAACACTTGTCTCTTTATTCGTTGTCTTCTTCATCATCATCTTTGTCTTTTCCTTACTAAACTCTTCTCCAATTCTTCCTCGTACTTGTGCCTTCTTCATTGCATCATCATCATTATCATCAAGATGCTTCATAACCTACAATCTCTTTAGATTATATACATGTCTGTCGAAACTCAAACTGAATGCAACTGCATGCTATATATGAATTCGCAGTCGTGAATAATGTAACAATTGCTTCCAGTATTCATTACTCAAGAAAAACATAAGAGTTAAATTTTTAAAGAACATATATACCTTTGCATTTGAACCGACGTCAACACTTGACACTTCATCCTTACCTCCTGATGAAAAATAGGACATAATATATTAAGTGCATTTTAATATAATCATGCATGCAACTATATATATCATGCAAATTGGAAAAAAAAAAAAAAAGAAGAAGAAATAGCTTTTAGTAAGTTCGATTCTCATAAAGCAAGCTTTTACGTATAACTGTGAGTTAATTATTCCGAATGTTCATGATATTTTGATGATTAATAATAGAGAAGCGGGAAATAGAAGAGAGAGATAAACCATGAAGAGAATATCCAAAGGAGAGGCGAAACAAAAGAAGGATCAACAAACACAGAAAGCTTGAAGTGACATTGGTCATCTCTTATTTTCTTCCCTTAGCTACGAAAATGTTCTCAAAATGAGTTATGAGATCAAAGTACGCAAGAATGATGAAGATTAGAAGAAGGCTAACTAGTGTTTATATAGGAGATCTAAGAAGAAGAACCCAAGAGAATTTCAAATCTAAGCTATTTTTACTTTACCATAAGCCATGTGTCTCTATTGGGGACCTGCCATGCATAGACATTGGGACATGCGTTAAAATCCCCGAACAATGTAAAAAACTGCGAATTACAACTTGAGATCTAAGTTCACACCCATAATTATAACTAAATTAAGTAAATGAAGTTTTATAGTCTTAAAATCTAAATATATTTGATATTTCGCAATAAGCTTATAATACCTATCTTATTAAAATATTTGGTCGAACTTAGAACACCAACTAAGGCACCGTTCATAACAATCATCTTGTTGACCATATAAGTTAAAGAATAAGGTGCTTACTAAGTCAATACGATGTAACATTCAAGAACATCCCTTGTTTTTCTTTAATTTAATTGCTCGGAAAGAGGAAATTAATTAAGAAAAGGAAAATGTAGTGATCTCAAATTATTATTCTCATAATTAATACACAAAGTATGATACTGAAAAATGCAAAAATTGACGTTGGGAATAGCCCAAAAATTAAACATCGAATAAGGAGAAGAAACATAACGTACAATGCAATTTACAGATGTGCGTGTTTTGTGTTTGTCTCTTACTCTATTACCACTTTTCTCATACTCGAGAACAATAAAAGTAACCCTTGTTCCATCATTTATAATTTAATCTTAATCAACAAATATTTGTTTCTTCTATATACGTAAGTAAACACACACATACAATATATATACTAGTTAATTAAATTAACTGTCTAGTAGTCGGTTATTTTTGTTCCATTATATTAGTCTTATTTTTAGTAGTAGCTAAGAAAACGATATTTGGTGTTCAAAAAAACAAAAGAAAAATATCTTTTAAATCATGAATTATTTTAAACCGTATAAGATTCACAAATTTTAGTTGACAAAAGAAATCAACAAATTTTATTTGAATCTATACAATAAAAAAAAAATTGGCAGCCGAAGGAAGTCGGTCAAATATGAGTTATATTAGTTAGTTAATATGGACGATGAATCAGTGGGTGTGGAATGTAACCTATGGTCTATAGCTCTATATAGCTAATAGCTTCCATAATTGGAATATGTGTATTTTTGTTAGTATCAAAATTGTGTATGCTATTTCTCCCACATTGCACCAAATTTCGAGTACCTAATTGCTTTACCCGATCAGAATTCATAACATAATATTTTGTATTAGTACCATTACTGTATCATCTGAAGTTAATTCGATTAAACTATAATGTGTGAAACTGCTAAAAAAAGGGATAATCCGTGCACATTTATATAACATATTTTTTTCTTTTATACTACTACAAATTTGAAGGTCTGAAATTATCAACCATTTTTATTAAGACTTTTATCTGTATATTAACAAATTAGTCGTGCAAGTGATTTTCATTAAACCTGATGAATTTCATAAACATTTTCTTATTTGCATGAACTATCGTGTAAATCTTATGAATTTGAAACCAGATGAATTTTCATCAATTCGCATGAATACTAGTATATTACATTGCTCATAATGGGCTTTACGAATGCATAGAGGCCCAATTGCAGGGACTTATCATGTCGTCAACCATGCAATGTTGCAACTAAGCATAATTTGAATTTATATTTCGTTAACCCAAAAAGGTGTTGCTAGTGTAATTGCAAAAGAAAGATTGATGTGAATTTTCCTTAAGTAATGATGAGAGTAAACTTTCTGTCCCTCCAAACGAATAAGATTACAAATAAATTTAGAGCGATTTATTCTCCACTACACATCATTGTTTCCCTTTTTTAGATTCAATTGTATATTCTTTCAATAAATAATGATTTATTTATATTTCTATAATGCAAGTAGCATCTAGAAGATGAGAACAATGATCAGTATGTGGGCGTGCGTGTATCCTCAATCATCTTAGTCTTTTATACTGATAAGTAAAAATTTGTTTCTTCTGATAATTAGATAAGTAACATACTTATTCAATATTCTTACGATTATTTTTGACACAATGTTTGGGTTATACGTTTTGAAAAATGTGATTATGTAGGTTATATATCGCTCCAAAGTAATAAGAAAACCCCGTGAAAAATGAAGGGGGAACATTTTACACAGTTAAGGAAATTAATATATTATGTTAAGCCTTAATCTTAGCCATACATATTTAGATGGATACTATATATATAAAGAAAGAAAGAGCATTTAAAAGGGAAATTTTAGCATCCATTTCTAACCATATTATGAATAAATTAATAAACAATATCAATAGATTATAGCATCCATCATTATTGCATATAGGCCATTCTTGTCTTCTATCACCAAAAAAAAAAGAAAGAGAGAAAAGTTTCTTTGAGTGAAATGGGAATTGCGACGTCGACGATGGCGGCGAAGTTAGCATTCTTCCCACCAAATCCGCCGTCGTACACGGTGGTGACTGAGGAATCAACGGGGAAGATGAGGATTTCTACGAACATGCCGCATTACCTAAGAGATGAGAACATCGAAGTGGTGAAGATAAGGACGAGAAGAGGGAATGAGATTGTGGCCATGTATGTGAAAAATCCAACCGCTAAACTCACCGTTTTGTTTTCTCATGGCAACGCCGCTGATCTTGCTCACATTTTCTACATCTTCGCCGAACTAATTCAACTCAATGTCAATCTCATGGGGTTAGTGTTTTATATATGCATGAACACCATTAAATTCACTTGTCTTTTATTTTTTGATACTAACGGTATAGTTGATACCCCTGTTCTAAAAATCCCCGCCTAGTCCCGATTACTCTCCGCTTAATCGCTAGGCCCACCCTATCCGCCTCGATTAATGACTAATCCCCTAAAAAATCAGTAACCCGATTATTCTCCGCCTAATCCGATTACTTTCCGCCTAATCTTATATACCCCGATTATTTTTTAGATTGCAAGTATAAAAAAACTTTTTATTTTTGTTATTTAATCATTTGAATGGAGAGTTTGTGATGTTTTACAATAACTTGTGTTCAAATTTTAATAAAAATCATAAATTTGTAATAAAAATCATAAATTTGTAATAAAAATCATAAATTTTTACAATATTGGATTAATATATTTTAAAAATATTAAAATAACCCTAAAACTAATCTCCGATTAATCCCCGATTTTAATCCGATTTTCCGATTAATCGCTAGGCCCATGCCGAGCGCCCGACTAGCGCCTAGCGATTTTTCAAACAAGGGTTGATACATATATTAAATTGTTTTTAGTTTTATTATGACCTTCTTGAGGGATAGCTTTTGTTTCTGTAGTCTTGTTTTGAGAATGAGACAAGATTAGGTTAGGATTGAGCATAGGATTCCAAATTCATTTTTAATCCCAAAACTCAGATCATTTCGTCAAATTTCTTAGCTCGCTGTTTCTTTTTTAAATGTAAGACGCATTATTTCTTTTAAATATATTAACTATATAAAAAAGGTTGGTGTACTTCACTACCGAGACGACCGAATTGTAAAAATAATAATAATTGGGTTCTTTTTATTATTATTAATACAGTATATGGTTTAATGTGATGATAATTGCAGATATGATTACTCAGGATATGGGCAATCTTCTGGTAAGGTAAGTCATTTATTTCGATTATTTCTAATCACCATAGTCTTTTTTTATTATTATTATTATTGTGGGGGGACTAATTAGCGCGTATACGAATATGTAAACCCAAAAAGCAAATTTAAAAACTACTGTCAGCCCCATATAATGAATACTCCAATTAAGAAGTTCACATTGATTGTTGAGTATATGATATTTTGTGTGATTTGGATCGTAAATTTTGAAAGCCAAGCGAGCAAGAGACGTACGCAGATATCGAAGCAGCTCACAATTGGCTAAGAGAGACGTACGGTACAAAAGATGAACGTATCATTTTGTATGGACAATCCGTTGGAAGTGGACCGTCGCTTGAGCTAGCTTCTCGTCTTCCACGTCTCCGAGCACTTGTTCTTCATAGTCCTTTCTTGTCCGGTCTACGAGTCATGTACCCTCTCAAGCACTCCTTCCCGTTCGACATTTACAAGGTTCGATCGTTCTTATATATCTTCCTTGATTTTACTAAATACCCCAAACTAAGGATAACTACGTACGTACATTATTGTTTAGGCAAACTTATAAGAGTTCTCTTTTTGCAGAATATCGACAAAATTCATCTCGTAAACTGTCCTGTTCTTGTAATTCATGTAAGTGTGTTTTCATTGCAATATACATATATTCATTCTTATTATATTTATACGAGATTATAGTAACAACTTGGTATAATTCTCTTTGCGTGCAATGCAGGGAACAGATGACGACGTGGTGAATATTTCACATGGAAAACATTTATGGGGACTATGCAAAGAAAAATATGAACCCTTGTGGCTTAAAGGAAGAGGCCATTGTGATATTGAGACGTCTCCTGAGTACTTACCTCACTTAAGAAAGTTCATTTCAGCCATTGAGAAGCTTCCAGTTCCAAAATTCCGACGCCTATCATTGGCTGATGACCACAAGAAAGAGAAATCAACAAAGAGTAGTAATTGGATTGGATCTAGACATAGCATAGAATGTGTTACTACTGCAAGAGACAAATCAAGAAAGATTAGTATCGATCATCGGTTTGGGAAGGCGAGAAACAGCGTGGATAGCTCTGATCGGGCTAGGAATAGCTTCGACAGGTTAGTACTTAAACAATTGATGACCGAATAATTCAATTATAGAATTTACTTTTTGTTATTTGAAGTCGATATGTATCATATTTTGTACATGGGATCTTACTATCTAAATCTTTGGTTCTAGGTTGGGTGAAATGGTGAGATCAGTTCGGTTGTGTAATGTTGATTGTGTGAAGAATGCAGTTGCAGAGGTTTGATGATTGTTGTCACAATATTGTTTTTTCTGATTCGTTTGTTAGATTCTGTGGAAAAGAGAAACATCTTTAGTATGAACATATCTTCATTTTTATTTTTAAGAAGTCAATTATAAACATATATATATATATATATATATTCATATTTGATACCATTTAGTTTTCCAATAATTTTTTTTTTTTTCTTGACATCGAATGATCAATTTTCATCATTAAAAATCTACAACTACTCTTCCCGCAGAGATTATCATCGTACTTATAAATCGGGTGCTAGATGATAATTAATTTAGTGTGAATTTCTAGTTTTTTGTGTGGCTGGAATTTGATATGTCAATCTTAACACACGTTTCATTCCATATGTAATCATATAACAAATGATTGATATTGATACATAGTTTTCATTGTTATATCAATTGAACTTTTGCGCTTTATTTTTCTTTCACAATATAAAAAGAAAAAGAGAACATTTAGGAGAAATATGAGTTAATTAAACGGTTGGATTATTGGTTTCTGCTGTGAAACCATGGCATTTACAAGTTCCACTATCGCATCGACAATCGACACAAGCCTCACACGCAATGTTCTTTAAGCATTCCGTTTTCGTTTTGCATTTAAGTGAGATTGTGACATCCCCTTTTCCCATTTCCTCCGCAGACTCTGAAACTGCAAGAAGAAGAAAGAAAACAATTAAATTAAAACACTGTTAAGTGTTTAGAGTGGTCAACCATTGCGTTAAATGTAAAGAAACTAATTACCAGTCGCGGTGAAGACAAGAACGGCCAATAACACAGCTATAATTACGCGAAGATTGTTCATTTTTCTCTCTAATTATGTTTTGAAACCGATTCCTTCTGTTGAATATGAAAGGAACGATGTATATTATTTTAGTTTGGTTTGTAATGAAATTAGTGTAGTATACACAGATATGACAGAACAACACATATCTAGTGATTTTATCTGTTTTTTTTTTTAATGTTTGGAAATAGAAATCTATATTTATTACTTAGTAAACATAAATGAAAATATCATATCTTTTGTTGACTAATAATATATATTTTTTTACTAATAATATCTTTTTTGTTGACTAATAATATCTTCTTCTTTTTTTGTGCAAAGTTGACTGATAATATGTAATACTATTAATTGGGGAACATTTTTGAGTAAAATAGTTATGGAGGTGTTAAACTTTTCATGAAATGTCATTAGAAAGCTGTATTTATAATTAAAAAAAAAACACTTATTAAGGGCAAAACTATCTTATACTTTTTCGTACTTGTTCCTATATTTAATGATTAAATCATTTAAAATTATATTCCAAAAATAAAATAAAATTCTTTTTAAATACCCTAAAGTATCTTCCGAAAACTTGTATAGCCAATCAAATTTAATAAAAAAAAGATTTCATATCAAATTATATCCTATTAATTATTTTAAATCATTATATTTTATCTCTCATCTCTGTTTGATCATTTTACATAAAAAAAAAAAATTTATCCATATATCAAAAAGAAATATTTTTTTTTGTGATGTGTTAAAAACTGCCACTAGTGATTAAATCTGGAAGTTAATTTCAGGCAAAGTTAGTTTAGTTTTTTTTCACCAAATTGTCAATCACGAAAAAAATTTCATCAATTGAAATTTTTCACTTTTTAATTATTCATTTGCATTACAAGAAACAAAAGAGGATTTAAAAAAGAAAAAGAAATGGACAAATTAAGGAGTTAATGGCGCAGCTGTTGGATTTCCCTTGTCTCCACCAAAACCATGGCATTTACATAATCCTTTATCACATCGGCAATCAACACAAGCTTCACAAGCAATGTTTGTGAAACAGTCCGATTTCTTTTTGCATGTGAACGTGATTATGATCTCTTTCTTATTGGCTTCCACCACAGAGTTTGAAACTGCCAAAAAAAATAAAAAAAATCCATATTCAAAACAAGGTTCTTGGTATATAAGATAATAAGAAACACTAATTGAAAATTGAATTTTAGATTTAGAAACGAAAACTAAATACAAGTCGCAGTGAAGACAAGAGCGGCCAAAAACACTGCAATGGTTACGCGAAGGTTGGTCATATTTTCTCCTAGCTCTGAACAGATTTCGTTTGAAGAATATGAGGTGTGAATAACTTTAGTTTAGTTTGCGATGGAATGAAGAAAGACTACAATAATAGGTATATATAGAGCATGATGAGGTCCAGAAAGTTGCTTCGTTGCCTAAAATATTTTTGCTTTCGTCAATGTTTTCATTAAATAACGCATAATGTCAAATTAATTTTACATATTCATTAAATAAGGTGTTCTAAAAATCTATGGCTTTTTGTAGAAATTAAATTTATCCCAAAAGAAGTGACGGTTACGTGGATAGAAAAAAATATCTATGGCTTTTGTCGTTTGTCCAATTAAACTTTGGTGGCTCCGGAAAGCTATTTTGCCGTTTTGAAGGTGTCATAAGAAAAAAATAAAATAAAAATGTATCCTAAGAATTTATGGCTTTTCTTTTTCCATATTGCTGGTTTAGGGCTCAGGGCCACCCCAAAAAAATGTAAGTCTTGTATTTTGAAGTTAGACCTGGGCTTTTGATATACAATTGTAAATCGATAATTACATTATTTGTTGTTTCTACAAGCACTATTTTAGATATATTATCATAAAATATGTTCAGACCAAACCGACAGGGTGATTAGCTTATTTCTTCTATGTGCATTTTTAACGCTATCAGCCATAAGTTATGTTATCTAAACTCTAACTATGATCTCATGATTTTGTATGTAATCTTATGTAATGATCTGGGCGATTACTAGGCGGTTGCAGAAAATTGGTATCGGGTTATGGACTTTGGAAAGCATAACACATACATAATTGAACCAGATTGATTTACTCAGCCACACCATCTCCAAGCAAAATCATGTTATATATAATCTCGGTCACAAAACCTTTCATTCGATATATAGTTTTGTATACTAATTAATTGTTGATATATATAATCTTCATTACCAGTTATATCAATTGAACATAATGTATTATTTTCTTTTGCATTACAAACAAAAGAGTATATAGGAGAAAGACAAGTTCAAGATGCAGTTGGATCAAGGGCTTGGGGGTTTAGAGCCATGGCATTTACAAGTTCCATTATCGCATTTGCAATTGCGATAGGAACAATGCTTACATGCAATATGGTTTAAACAACCCTGGTCCAATTTACAATTGTTTTCTATGAATCCGGATATAGTGTCCACCTTAGATTCATCCAAAGAATTTGTAACTGCCAAATAAAATATAAAAAGAATTAATACGAACGTTGTTTATATCAAAGCGGCCAACAAACAAAGTGTTACAATAATGTATATTGAAACTAAATACCAGTTGTGGTGAAGACAAGAACGGCCAGGAACGCAATAATGGTTATTCGAAGATTCTTCATATTTGTCTCCGAGTTTTGAAAATGACTCTGTCTAATGAATTTAATCTGTAACTGATTTGTTGGTTTGTGATGATGGGCTCTAGATATTTATACACGTTAAAGAATTTATTGTGCTTAATTATTTTAATGTTTTTATTAAAATTCATTTGAAAAATTAGCAAAAAAAGTTAATTGGATTGGATTTACAGTTTTCAAAAAGTATTTAGTTATTAAAAACTTTGTGTGTGTGTTTTTAGTATATTTATAATTAAATTTTACTGACCTAAACTTAAAATTGATTAATTTTGACTTAAAGATAAATAAGAAATTTAATATTAAATTTTGAATGTTAATTGGATTGAATAATTTTCAAAATAGTAAATACAAGAATATGATAGAGTTAATTGGTAATGGTAAAATAATAATTTTAAGAACTAAATTTTGTATCTTAAATTGACCTTTTTCAATATTGAAAATTTGAAATGGGTTTATATTAATATTTTAAAATATATAAAAAATTAATTAATGAACATCCATAGATCATTGAGTTAGAAATATCTTTAAAAAGTAATCAAAGAAAATAAGCATTTAAAATTATGTATAAATAAAGTTTTAGATCTGCATCAAAGTATATGAATATTACAACAATAAATAGATTTTATATATTGTACTTCATTTTTTTGTTTAAATAGATTTTGTACTTCATTTAATAGTAATAGAAACAATATGCATTTATGGTAAATATATGATTTTAACTAATTAATATTAAAAGTCAGAAATATGTAAAACGAACAAAGATGAAAATTAATAAAAGTATATAAATAAAAACAAATGTGAGACTTTTTAAATAATGATTTATGTTTGTTATAAATTAATATTAATATATTATATAAAATAGAAGAAGAAAAAAACAGTCAAAGTGTCAAACTTTATACGCATTTAATTCCTTTTTAGTTTCTGAATGAATTACGGAGAGACATTGTCTCCCTGGGTCGCACTCAAAAAACTTTATACGCACATTTAAAAAAAAATAGTTAAATAATCTAAATTATTTCTAATTAAAAAAATCATGAAATACATTTTAGAACATAAAAATATGTTTAAAATGATATTTTATTTATTTTATAAAACTTATTTTGATTATTTTAAACTCCTATATATTCAAACTTATTTAATTAGTTGTCATTTTCATGCTTCATTGCTTCTACACACACACTATTTAAATACCCCCATCCAATCCACCATACATTAATACCAAACAGTAAATTAGTTCACAAATCCTACGCGTTAAATTGATAAACACGAAAATTCATGTTAAAGATATGATGGCAACATTGCTCATTTTTGTTTCCTTTCGTCCTTTGTTGTAAGTCTTGATTTCTCTCCTTTAACAGAAAAAAATAGTCTTGATATCTCTCTTTCTCTCTTAATTAGAAATTCGTTAATTCTATTATATGTTATCTTCTAGTCAAATATGTTTTGGATTTTTTTGTAATATATATATTTAATATCAATATTAGCGTACATGTTTTTGTTTTTATGGCAACCATCTCTACCTCTGTTTTACGATTAACCACTACGTTTCATTAGATATCAAAGAACCAATTTGTGCTAATTAGCTTCTATTGATCTCAACTATATACCTCTATGGGCAAAAGAGTTATCTTTTTCCAATTTTTTCTTTTAGGTCTTTCACATTTCTTCCTATGTCAGACAAAAGTCTTTTGGCTTTATCATAATAATGAGAATTTAAAACACACACCACCCCATCGAATATGTGACATATACTTAGCAAAATTAATATAATGAGAAATATTCATTTCCATATATTTGTAAAAACCATGTAAGCTCGACATTTCTTCTTTTAACTACCTATACGTTCACCGAAGTTGCATCAATCAACATATATAGCAATAACATGTATGCAAATCACATGTTGGATTGTATATACAGACTTTGTATTTGCACGTTGCCGGACAAACTTTGTTACATTGAGAGTTTCCATTGCAACGCGCACACTTTTCGATTTTAGGGTTAGGACCAATCACTGAAGGAGTAGGAACTTGAAGATCATCGCCACAGTTGCAGTAAGGATTTGTGGAAGGACAAAAGCATGGTTCTTTCCATTCTCTTACTATCGCATCAGATACCGACAATAAATCTGCATCCCAAAAGTAATAAAACATTAGTAAATGTTGCCAGAAGTGTAAAACGGATATTTCACATTCAAAGCTATGTATATATGTGTAGCATATTCTTACAATATGCAACAATAAGAGCGAATACAAAATGAAAGATAAGTCTCGCCATAGATTTTGCCCTTGCAATGAGAATAAAATTTCGATGTGAATAAATTGATTCATCTCTCTATATATAGACTATAGAGAGGAGACCTTAATGCAAAAAACTTTGACTATTGGTAGTAAACTTAATAAATTTTCAAAATTAATTTTGATAAGAACAAAATAATTAAGTGATTTTATTTTAGTTAATTGACTTCACAAGTTTTAAAGCTATGTTGGACCGTCATTATGGTAATACGATGTGATTCTTAAATTAAATGTTGACTTACTTGTTAGTATGTAAGAGCATGATTATAGGTGGGTTCTTAGAATTTGCTCTTAGCAATATTTAAGTAATTTATTTGTAAAAGTGATTGTTAAGAGATAGTATTTTTGAGTTAAGATTTCTGTGTGATTAATGGTAGGCTCTTAACATGTGGTTCTTAGAAAAAAAAATATTAATATAAAAATAAAATTTATAATTATAGAAAATTTAATAATTGTTACAAAGTAAAAAAATTAAAACATACATGAGATACAATTTATAACATAAATTACATAAAGCATAAATGTTTTAAACTTAATTTCTGGAATATTTTGTCCATATATGCTCGACCAAATCATTCTTCAATTGTTGATGCATACCTCGATCACGAACTCGAGCTCTATTGGTCATCAGAAGAAATTTGAAGGCATATCTGTAGAATATGTGAAATCCACCCGTGAACTTCCTGCAGATTCCGCTTGTTCGAATTCGGTCGTATCAAACAGAGTATACCCATCTCGTTCGTCTTCTACTATCATATTGTGAAGTATTATACATGCTCGCATAATATTTCCTATTTTTACCTTATCCCAAAGAAGAGCCGGATTTTTGACAATAGCAAATCGAGCTTGCAAAACTCCAAAAGCACGCTCGACATCTTTACGGCAAGCTTCTTGATGGGTTGCAAATAAAGATGCTTTTTCAGTTTGTGGAAGTGAAATAGATTGGATAAAAGTAGCCCATTTAGGATAAATGCCATCCGTGAGATAGTAACCCAAATTATACTCGTTCCCGTTGACTGTATAATTCACTGCTGGTGCTCGCCCTTTTAAGATGTCATCAAAAACCGGAGAGCGATCTAGAATATTAATATCGTTTAAAGTACCTGACGGTCCAAAAAACGCATGCCATATCCAAAGATCTTGGGAAGCTACAGCCTCTAAAACGATCGTTGGTTTTCCAGAGGCACGTGTATATTGTCCTTTCCAAGAGGTAGGGCAATTCTTCCACTCCCAATGCATACAATCAATGCTTCCCATCATCCCGGTAAATCCTCGAATCTCTCCAATAACGAGTAGCCGTTGAAGATCTTCTGCAGTGGGTAGTCGTAAGTATTCATCTCCAAAGCAATAAATAATTCCGTCAACAAAATGTTCCATGCACTTCATCGAAGTGGTTGCACCAATCCGCAGGTATTCGTCAACCGCATCAGCCGCTAAACCATATGCAAGCATACGAATTGCTGCTGTACACTTCTGTAGTGTAGATAAACTGTTTCTTCCTGTAGCATCTCTTTTTTGTTGAAAGAATGGAATTGTGGAGAGGCGATCAACAACACGCATGAATAATGGCTTATTCATTCTAAAACGGCGTCTGAATAGATTAGGAGGGAAAGTTGGATTTTCTGCGAAATAATCGTTCCATAACTGGATGTGTCCTTCTTCTCGATTTCTTTCAATATGGACTCGTTTTTTCCTCGGTTTTGCGGCTTGCTGACGATCACCGTAAGAATCCAAAGAATTATCCAACGCTTGCTGGAAAGCATTGGATAAAGCATTAGATAATTCTTCGTCCAACGCTTCTTCGAAATTGTAATTGGAAGATGAAGCCATTTTGTATGTATAATTTTTAGGAAGAAAAAGATTTGGGTTTAGAACAAGATATTGAAGTGAAAAGAAATAGAAGATGGTATTTGCTTATGGAATAAATTATGGTTTAGAATTGGTTTTAGATAAGTAATTGGTTGTGGTTCAACGATTTGGATTTCTTTTGTTGTGAGTTTGTAAGAAAAAGTAGACTGAGGAGAAGAGATAATTCATAGCAACATGAAATTTGTGATATTTATAGGCAATGTTCTCAAATAATACATGGTTACAAAGCATTTGTGACTTGTGGTACAAATCAATTTATTACTTGTGGTTACAAAGAAGTGAACAAATACGCTTGGTCCGTGACCAAAGAGAGAGTATCAAGTGGTCCAAAAGCTTGCTGGAAACTTGTGGTTACAAAGAAGTCTTGTGGTGTCCAAGTACAGATTCAGACTTGTCCTCTTCTTCTCCTTTCACGTGAACCTGCACATAATTCATACCAAGTTATTGCAAAAACCATAAGTTAAAAGACATGAAAGAAATCGAAACATAAACAAAAAGATACAAAGCCAAATTGAAACATAAAGACATAAAACAAATTGAAACATAAACTTCATTTAGCAAACATAAACCAGAAATACAACCACAATTTCAAATTGAAACATAAACATAAAGACAGAAATCCAAGCAAGAAATTAAAAGCATAGACATAAATATAAAGACAGAAATACATGAGAGACATTCAAAGCAAAATATCCCTAATTAACTTGTTCTTTAGTTCTTCCTCAATTTCAGATAGAGGATCTGATTTAGATAAAAGAGAATCAAGCAACTTCGAGTTGGTAAGTTCCTTTCTAAAGGCATGTTCTTGCTGCTTCAAAGCAAACTCTTTTTGCCTTATCTCCCATAAAGCCTGAATCCTTTCTACATCCTGCCCTTCTTCTTCTACAAGTGGCGCAGTTGTGGCAGGCTTTTTGAGTTTTGCCTTGGCTGCCTTAACACCAGCAGGACGAGATTGAGATGCTTGAGACTCATTATGGGCTTGGGAAGCTTCAGAATCTACGTTTCTTCTTTTATTCTTGTCAGTGGATTTAGTGGACTGCTCTTGACACCACTTCTGCTCATTCCTCAACGCTCTCCATGCATGCTCCAAGTTGAACTTATTATCGTAGTCAGCCTCAAATATCTGATGCGCAAGCTTAATCAGATCGTCATCATTCATACCACTTGCCACCTGTCCTGCTGCAGCTTGGAAAGAACCCACAAACTTACAAACAAGCTCATTTATCTTGGCCCACCTTTGTTTAAAGTGGGTTGGCTCTCTCTTTTTCTCACCAGATATATTGGGACTTGCAGCATAATATGCTGCAATCCTCTTCTAGAATGCTACTCCTCTTTGCTCATTGCCAACAATGGCATCTTTACTTGTATTAAGCCACGCTGATATTAAGACTAAATCTTCTTGACTTGTCCACATGTTCCTCTTTCTTGGTGTGGATTTAGCTTTGGCGCTTCCACCTTGAGTTGTAGCTTCTGTCGCTTCTGTCCATTGGGTGTTGTAGGCAGGGAGATCAGATTCACCAAGTCTGATACTTGGTGATGCTGACTCACAAGCATTGGGGTTTAGGCTTCCTCTTTCTTGTTGACTTGTTAACATCTCCATGAAGCCAGCAGAGTTAGTATATGGATTCATCTCCAAGAGTTTCAGGGAGTTTACAAAGGGAATTAAAGAAAATGAAAGATGAGAGAATGAAAGAGAATGGGAGAATAAAAGAAGAATCCGAGAGAATGAAAGAGAATGGGAGAGAAAGAGAGACTTTATGTGTTAGTGTTTGTTTACAGTTGTGGGTAACAATCAATGATACACTTACTTCTAAACCCTAATGGAAACCAAACAAGCATTGATCAATTAAAAACTGATGTAGACAATCTAATTCAACATCAAAACTGACAGAAAGCAAACAATTAAAAACTCTTTTAAGATGCTTTTATCACTAAATTGACACAACCAAAACACTCAAGTCTCACCTAATATTAACTACAAAAATAATCAATGTTCTAAATCAAATTCAAGATAGCTTCTGTTACCTTAATGTCTGGCCATTTAACGCAGCTTCTGATCCTCACAGTCCATCTCCTCTCCGTTCTCTCATCTTTGTGTCCAATAAACACCATATCTCACAATAAAAAGAAAACAATAAATCAAATTCAAGATTAAGAAACAATACAGATTAACATTTGAAATAAAAATCACAAATATAATGAAGACTAATCACTACACAAAGCATTTATGAAGTATAATCACTGTGGATGTCGGAATCCGCAATACAAATTTTATGATGTGTATCGGGTCGTCTAGCCTTGCTAATTCGAATAGCAATCGTCAAAAAGAAAACAAAAGAGTGAAGTATGTGTATCCGTTTATTGCTCAAGAAATTCCGTCCCCCTTACAAATGATCTACAACCCCTATTTATAACTACATCGTCGAAATCCGTTCCCCCCAATCTAGCCGCGAATCACGCCCTTATTATTATTTCCGTTTCGAATCTTCTCCAATATGTGAATTCCGTATGACCCGCACTTTATTTACTTCGCAGATTCCGACGTTACATTCGAGCTGGATTTGAAATTAAGTGGGCTTTTCATCTCATCATATGGGCTAGCTTGACGGCCCACTTCGTTTCCTGAATCCTAAACTTTCCGGGCCGGATCCGAATTACGGGATCCGACACCAACAGTTTGCCCCCCAAGTGTTCCGAGGTGTATGCTTCGGGATACTTATGATATTGAAAATCTTGTAACAAAGGAAATTCGACATAAATACCGTCAATCTCGGGATTTTTCCGTGTCCGAGGTGACGCTTCAAGATCCTAGGGTTTTCACTTTTCCTGCCAACCGAGAGATTCTTCTCGGGAACGAGGCGACGCTTCGAGATCCTAGGGTTCTCACTTTTCCCGCCAAAACGTTCTATATATTAGACTGGACCCTTCGAGTTCTGTACCTTGCCTTCAATACCCACGATCCACTTCTGTCCTCCGTTTATTTAAAGGTATCCCTCTTCTCCTTACTCCTAAATTCTCCCATTGATTTTGTTTTTCGCTTTGAACTCTTGAATCCGATTAGATTTTTAGAAGTAGATTACTCTTAGCACCTGCTTTCCGCTAGGTTTAGGCCATAGATCTGAAGATCTTTTAGATTTTCAACCGTTAGGTGTGAAGAAACTTCCGTCA